GCTTCCATATATATATATATATATATGGACTTTTAAAACTAGAAAATCACCAGGGCCTACTCCATCTCTCTTACTAACTAGAATTTTCTAACAACTGGAATATTTTCCTACTCTTCCTTTCGAAGAAAAACCTTAAAATATCAAGTAGGGGAAATGCCACAAATTACTTAAACACACAACTTCCAGGAGAAAAACCAAAGATGGTCTGACTCTGGCCCCTTCTAATACCCAGCCCTGGTGGCCCCTACAACAATGTCTTAGCCTCAGGGACAGAGAATAGAAGAGAGAGTCTCAGGGCCACCATAGAGGTACAATTGAGAGTTTCTGATGGTTTCTTAATGACCATACCCAGCTTGGGGACTTGTCCTTTAGATTCAATGGTGTTACATTATTGAAAATGTAATCACCAGTCATCTCTGCAGGGAGAGTCCATTAGATCCACCCCAGGAAGAACTATGGAAACCCAGTCAGAAGGAGCAGCCCCACTGAGTTCTAGAGTTTTTACAGGGTCAGGGACCAGAGACACAGGTGGATGCCCTTGCCCAGCCCTGTTTCTCCTTCTACCTGCTTATACCTCCCAGATAAGGGCTAGTTTGGAGAAGGAGGAATTTCTAAGCAAGAAGCTGGTCTTTCCCAGAGATGCAAATCAGAAGTTGGAGAGAGGCTGTCCACTGTTGGTGGGAATGAAGCCCAAAGGTCCTGAGGAGTGAGGGTTAGGGCACCAAGGAGTGCCATATATACTACAGGTAGTTGGCAGAAGGTGCATCGCAGACTCACAAAGCTGGTACAAGGTTCTGGAGAGGCCAAGGGCAGTCATCCTGGTTCTTGACCCTCAGCTTCCATTTCTAGAGGTCTGTCCAGTCTTGTCTCTTCTCTCTCCCTCTCTCAGCCCCCCCCCCCGCCCTGTTATTTGATTTTGTTGTTTAAATGTTTTTCTTTTCAGACCTTCTTTTGTGATCCCAGAAAGACAGAGAGATACAGGTAGCCTGCCACACCCTATACCTCACCCACCCCAACACACACACACACACACACACACACACACACATGCACAGGCACACTGGCTTAAACAAATCTAGTAGGTCTATGTCTTGGGGCTGATGGGTCCCATACAGAATTCTGCATGTGCTAAGCCAACAACAATCTTTTCTGGAGAAGTCTCGACAGTCCAGGGACCTGGGATATCCCGACTCCTCCACAGCCCTTACCACCAAGCCACCCACTCACCTGGGAAAACTGCTTCTCCCGCATCTTGACCTCCTTCTCCACCAGCTGCTGCCTGCGGGCACTCTCACTCTGTAGCCTCCTCTCCACCTGCTCCCGCCTCCGTCGTTCTTCCTCCAGGGCCTGCCGCCGCAGCTCCATCTCCCTCTCCTGCCCACAAAGCCAAAGGTCAGTACCCTCAGCTACCCTCTGTGCCTCCTGCTGGCTTTTCCACAGGACTGGCCAAAAGTGCTCACCCAGGCAGTAGTCTGACTGAGCGAGCATTGTGCTCAAAGGCCACCCTTCTCCATGAGCCTTGCTAGCTAAGGATAAACACTTCAAATCCTGGCTCTGCCACCACTGTGGACTACGAGTGACCCTACAAACATCACTTACACTCTCAAGTCTTAGCTGCCTCATTAGAAAAATGGGCTTCAGGATGCCTGGTCCTGGGACTGGAGTGAAAATTCAATGAATTCAAGTGCATAAATGATTCCAACATGAAAGTAGCACTCAATAAAATGGAGCTCATAACTTTTTTTCTTAAGCTTTTATTTTATTTTTATTTGTGTGTGTGCACATACCATGTATGTGCAGGTGCCCATAGGAGGCTAGAATCCAGGTGTCACAGGTGCTTGTGAAACAGAGTCTAGAAGCAGAACTTCAGTCTTCTGTAAAAGCAGCAAGCACTCTTAACTGCTGAGTCATCTCTCCAGCCCCAGGCTCTAAAAACTTTATCTGAATTCCTAGAACATGCATTATTTAACCACTGTTTTGACAGTGAGTATAGTCAGTATTCCTTTCCCAATCACTGGCTTAAGGCTCTTTAAAACTTGACATAAGTAACAAATTTAATAAGGAAGTTATATAAGTTGAACTTATAAAAGCCATTAGGAACAGATTTTATTTATTATTTTTATTTTATGTGTATGAGTCTAAGTGCATGTGTGTAAGTGCCCTCATGTCATGTAATGTCCAAGGAGGTCAGAAGAGGGTGCCAGATCCCCTAGAACTGGAGTTATACATGGTTGTTAGCTGCCATGAGGGTATTGGGAATTGAACCTGGGTCCTCTGCAAGAGCAGTCAGTGCTCTTAACCATTGAGCCATCTCTCCAGTTCCAGGAATGGCTTTTAAAAGGTTGTATTAAAAGTAATATGGTGAGGAGATCTAAATACCATCAAACTATATTGTATGAAAATCACAAAAATTCAATTTAAAAAGTAGTATGGTGCATGTCAGTATTACTTTATATGTCTTCAACAAGGATAGAGACCTCTACGCTTTTTTCCCAGCTCAAAATTGAGCAGAATTTCCCGATTTCCCGCTGAAAGGCTTGTAAATTTGCCTTACTTTGTGGTAAATACTACTGAAACATTCTTTTTAGCTGGCATTCTACCCCAGTGGTCACATCCTCATCTTTTTTAGGTCCCACTTACTGGTTCCCATATTCATCTCAAGAGATACAGAATAGCCAGGCATGGTGGTACACACCTTTAATCCCAAGTTAATTCCAGGCCAGCTGAGGCTACAGGGAGACCCTATCCCAAAAATAGCCCAAAAAGAGAGAGAGAGACAGAGACAGAGACAGAGACAGAGACAGTTTTTTGGTTTTTTTAAGGACAATGATTGAGAGGATGGAGAAATGGCTCAGCGGCTAAGAATGCTTGTTGTTCTTCCAAAGGACCTGGGTTTTGTTTCCAGAACCCACATGGTAACTAACAACAGTCCGTAAGTCCAGTTCCAGAGGATCCAACACACTCTGATGGCCTCTGTGTAGCATTGCATGCACATGATGCATTTACATACACGCAGGCAAAACATTCATATATATATATATAATATATATATAATAATATATATAATAAATAATTATTTTTTAAA